CCCCCAATTCCAAATGTAATTGATATATCAATCTTACTTTTCAAAAAGTTGATTACAAGAGAAATGTAGCAATACAACCATACAAACCCAACGTTTGATGTTTATTCTAACCTTTTTTCTTCCCTTGATATTGAGCTCGATCAAGCATCCCGTTAACACCAATTGATTCACTGTATCACACTACTCCTTTTTAAGAACCCTCATTCTTCAAATATTTCACTAGATCAAATCCAATTGTGTATTACTATTTCCCAAGGTTTCCAAACAATTCACAGTCTCAAGCTACTCCTACGACAAAACCACCGATGAGGCTAAATCAATTGATACTCCAACGCCAAAAAATGGTAACTTGGATAAATATGTAAATGGTAAGGATGTGGATGTGAATAAATATATAGGTACGATTAGATCTCTTCTATATCTCACTGCATCTAAGCTCGACATCGTGTTTAGCGTTTGTATATGCACCCGGTATCAATAATCGATTATGCCAAACATCATAATCAATTACAATTTGAAATATGTAGTAATCAACTCCTTTTAATCTATTACTTAAATTCATATTAATCAATTACACAAAGTTCATAATCAATTATGAATCGATTATAAAGAAGGGTTAATTCTTGGTTGACTTATGGAGACCTCGCCACTAAGATCTTGATATATGTTGGAATTAGTTTGGAAAGGGAAGAACGTGTCACAAGATTCTCACTTGCTGGTTCACGAAATTTAAATCAAATGAAAATGTTAAAAAGAGGGGTGTTTGGATCTATGTTCCAAATTCTCCCACTGATCAATCTCCTCAAGCTCTTCAAGCTCCTACGGCTCGTAAGCTACCAAAGTAGGCAAATATGAAAAAGTTTGATTTTAAGATTCCTCAAACACTTATTACTAAAGAAATCTTTCAAAGTAATCAATACGACAACATGATGCTTCGTTGCTTCAGTTCCAAAGTTGATTTTATGACATATCACTTAACAAATATGGAGGTTGTTGTTCCTTTTAAGTTTCGTGTAATGATGATGATGTATAGTAGTAACATTATGCAACTTGTATTTTCTTGTCTTGTTTACTTACTTGCTTTATTGTTTTCCTACTTTATCTTGTACTTTCATTTTTTATCTATATATAAGATTTTTTTGGCTATTAATTCTTCTTTTATCCTCTATATATGTGTTGTATGTGATGGTTATGTTTTCTTATATATTTTTTTCATCTTTTTGATTATGCCAAAGGAAGATAAGTATGCTCCCACGGGAGTATACTCTCTAATCTTTAAGGAGAGTTAACACTCCAACATTTATTTTTTCTTCTTAAATTCCTTATTTTTGTCACCTCCCTGAGAGATGCATTGTCATCATAAAAAATGGAAGAATGTGATTCTATGTGATGAACATGTACATCTGGTTTTTATGATGATAAATATATTAAGGAAAAAATTAGAAACATCATCAAACAAAGCTTAAGTGTGAATAAATAAATAAAGAGAGATATTTGTGGTGATTCATGGAAAAGAATTAAAATCTAAAGAACCCCACCAAGAAATGAAGCCAAAAACAAAAAAAAAAATTGAATATGATCCTTGCTATACCTCTTTATTTATTTTATTACAAGATCAAATGTATAATTAAGTGTATACTCTTAGAGTAGTAAAGTTCTCTCTCTCTCTCTCTCTCTCTCTCTCTCTCTCTCTCTCTCTCTCTCTCTCTCTCTCTCTCTCTCTCTCTCTCTCTCTCTCTCTCTCTCTCTCTCTCACACACACACACACACACACACACACACACACACACACACACACTTACAATATGTTTTCAAAACTTCAGTTTTTTAAAACATCTTTTAAACTTCTTAGTTTGGGACAGGTGTTTTAAAACTAAAGTTCAATCGATTACAAAGCTTGATTAATCGATTATACAACGAAAACTTTACCTATAAATGACTATGACACTTGTTTAATCGATTATGGAGTGAACTTAATCAATAATAGATTAAGGAATCCTTATAATTGATTATGTTTCACATCTAACAAAATCTTTTATGGCCACAACCAAATCGATTATGACGCATATCCAGTAAAAATAAATTCCTTTTTGAGCAAGTTTTTTTACTAAAAATATAAGACTTATGATCATTTTAAAATACACAATAAATATGAATATAACCTCTCTTATACTAATTATATTACTCTTATAAATTTCATATTGAATTAAGTACCTTTTTAGTGCTGAGAGAGCAAACACTTAAGTAGAGTTATCTTGTGTAAACCGTTATTCATCTGTAACTGCAATCAAGAAAGGGTTGTTCTCTTGACTATAATATTTTTATATAAATGTTTCAAGGTGAACCTGAGATAAAATCTTGTGTTGATCATGTTGTAAAAGATATGTGATAGTGGAAATTGCAAGGTCAATTAGTAGTTACTTAGACTTCGAGTCAATTAAAGCATTTTCAATCGGATATATGGTGTGGAAATTTTATTACTATCTTTGTGTAATTATTTTTTTATGTCTTAGAGTAAATTGAGGCTTTTGACACAAAGTTAGCCAAAGGAAAAATGATTGTTGTATTTTTCTAATTAACGACAAATAATTAAATGAGAAATTATGATATGAATAGAAAATGGATACCTTTCAATGGATTGTTAAAAGAATGTGAAATTGAAGTGGAAGAGTTTGTTAGGGTTGTTGTTGCTCATGCAACTTTATTTATACTTAGGTATCTCAAATAACTTGATTTATACCTATAATATTTTACTACGGCCAATTTTAAATATTTATGTTCTTATTGGTTGAATGATAATTTTACATTTATGTTCCCCCATATCACATGTGAACATAACTACATATACATAGTAGTTGACATCTTGATCATTAGCAAAAAGATCAAGAATGGACTTGTATTAATACCTTACAATGTAAAGTAAACATTTTCATAAAAAATATGTTATGTTATAAATAATTATATAGAATTTGAATTTTAACTACAAACTTATTATTTGTTGTAGAGTTTACTTAGTGTTAATTTCTAATTTTTCCTTTTTACTTTGACTTTCCTATATCCTTACTTTTATTTTTAGATAAGCTAGGACAATCGATCTTTATGTTACCACTTTTTTTTATACTCATAACTTTTGATTCAACTCTCATACTTCTTGATGTATTGTTCTTTATGATTTCACCTCTTATAGTTTATAACATTTTTGACACTCTGTTGTATTATGCTTTATGTATTTATGGTAGTGTTTCTCAAGCAGACCTATTTCTTCATCACCTAAGGCGTCATCGTCACTTTCGCTACCATCAGAGATGTCTTTGACATTGACATTGGACGATGAAACTTTGACAATTATACTTTTTATATCATTTTTCTTATATTTTTCTTTATTTTTCATATAAGCTTTTTCTGTATGACTGCTTAAACTTTCTGGTTCTTATTCATATTATTCCAGCTTTCCAAAGAGGGATCTAATTTACATAGAATATGTGTTTTCATATTCTTTTAAGGTATTTATTTTTGTTGCTAGTCTTTAGTTAGAAATATAAGAACTTTGATGGTTAAATCCTCACTTCTAGTAGTTTTATCCAAACCTTCTAATTTGTTTACAATGTGTGTGAGTTGTTTTAGCATTTATGCAAAGTTTTAACCATTATCCGATTGAAAAAGTTCACACTCTTGTGAGAGAGTTTTAATTTTGAAGTGCTTGACATTAATTTTCATCTCTTGAGTTACTTTCACTGCATCACACATTGCTATCACATATTTGTAATGAGAGACCAGGAAATATGCATCAACTTCCAAAGAGGATATATGTATAATTTTTATCTTCCAATCACACTAAAATTTCTTATTTTCATATGTTTTTTATTTATTTCTAGTTTTTCAATTTTTTTTTTTGTCTATAGTAATGATAGACTTAAAAACCCATTTACGATGAACTTCCAGTTCTTCCTATAAAAGCCATGATATGGATCTATATGTAATACTTCTAATAGACATAGTTTTTGCACCTATAAATTCAATGTCTTATTAAATGTCCCTTTGAGGTCTAGTTTAGTCATACCTTAACTTTTGAGGTTGTTAAACCCTGAACCAAAAGCCAAGCTCGTGATACCTCATTCATTAATATGATATCTATTATATTGAGGTGTTGTGATAGGAGGTGCAATTAGACATTTTAATTAGTAATATAATGTTAGTTGTTATTTTATTTTGAATGTTTGGTTGAATTGGGTTTTTAGTAGTGCTTGGGTCTTTAAGTTTATTATCATTAGAAGTACTATATATTGTAGTCTCATTAGGTATCAAATCAAATGAAATGAAGTTTATCTTTTATTTTAATTCTCTTAGCTTTTAGTGCTCTTCCTCTTTATTTGTAGAAAACCCTAATTTAATAGCTATGATAGGAAATTTCCTATCAATTGGTGCTTTCATCCATGTACTCAAATCCTCCTATGAATTATCCTTATCATACACCTTCATATCATCCATGGAGCATTCCTCCAACCTATCCCACAAATCTCTCTTTTACATCTCCAATCGCTTCCTCATTTCCATCATTTATATGGGAAATTTTCTCATCTTATCCCACAAATCCACATGTTACAACCCCATATTTGTATTTTAATCATGGGTATACACCACCTCCACCTAACTCATATTCATCCCATTCATTGTCTCATTATTCATACTACTACATTAATTATCATCAACCACTACAACCAACAAAAACTTCCTTCACAATTAAAAGAGATTTTGAGAAGCATTGACAAGTGTCTCATTTATATTTTAAGAAAATATATTTAAAAAACTATCATAAACCCATTAGATCCAATGACCCACTTCAAACCCTTTATCATCCTTGTTTCAAGAAAGCAAAAAAAACACAAAAATCTCCCTCATTAGAAAGCACCCCTTTCAAGCTTGTAGATACTGACTTTATCAATAAAAACTCAAAAACCCTAATTCGAGCCTAATTTCTGGTACAAAATCCAACCACCCAAATGGCCATTGCAACTCGTCCCTTTATCACCGTCCATTCCCTCGATGGTGATGTTGCCACTGATTTCATCGTCACTCTCCCCATCCCCGATGTCATGCATGACCATATACGTCCTGACATAGTCAACGTCGTCCACTCGAACATTTGCAAAAATGACCGCCAACCCTACACCGTCATATGTAAAGTCGGTCACCAAACCTCCGCTGAGTCATGGGGAATTAATTGTGTTGTGTCTCGTATTCCTTGTGTTGCTGGTGGTGGTACTCATCGTGCAGGTCAAGCTTCTTTCAGAAACATGTGTTGTGGTGGTCGCATGTTTTCTCCCACCAGGATCTGGCGTAAATGGTACTGGAAGATTAACGTTAACCAGAAACGTCACGTTGTGGTCTCATCCATCACTGCTTCTGCGGTTCCTTCTCATGTTCTTGCTTGTGGCCATCATATTGAGTCAGTCCCGGAGTTTCCTCTTGTTGTTGGTGATTCCGCTGAAAGAGTTGAGAAAACCAAGGAAGCAATCAAGCTTCTGAATCACATTGAAGCTTTCCCTGCCGACACCAAGAAAGCAAAGAACAGCCACGGGATCCGTCCAGATAATGGAAAGACAAAAGTTGAAGAATCTATTAATACATATCAAAAAGTTGAGAAATCTACTAATGTAGAAGATAATCCTAAGTCGGAGGTTCAAGCATAATCTATTAAGACTGGGATAAAAGATGAAGAGGTTATGTTGGTGCAAGATGAAGAGGTTTCGCCGGTGCAAGATGAAGAGGACGAGGAGATGGATGTCAAAAGGCACTTAAATGTTGTTTTTATTGGTCACATGGATGTTGGTAAATCAACAACAGGAGGTAAGATACTTTTCCTCAGTGGTCAGGTCGATGAAAAGATTATACAAAAATACAAGACATAAGCCAAGGAAAAAGTAGAGAAAGCTGGTATATGGCTTACATAATGGATATGAATGATGAGGAGAAGGCCAAGGGAAAGCGAATTGAAGTTGGAAGAGCACACTTTGAGACAAAGACATCAAGGTTTACGATTTTGGATGCACATGGTCATAAGAGTTATGTTCCTGACATGATCAGTGGTGCATCTCAAGCTGATATTGGAGTATTGGTAATCTCTGCTTGAAAGGGAGAATTTGAAACTGGATATGAAAAAAGCGATCCAATCTGTGGACATGTTCAGCTAGAAAGATATTAGGTGTGTCTAAGCTCCTTGTTACTGTTAATAAATTGAATGATCCTACAGTGAAGTGGTCAAAAGAAAAGTATGATGATGTTGATTTGGTTTTTCATAAGTTGCTTTCGAATTTGATCCCTACAAGGCAGGAATTTTCTTCTGCAAAAGAAAGATCAAGAAGAGCTCAAAATAAGCAAGTTGGTGGTGCTATTGTCATGGATGCTGATGCTACATCAGCATTGTACAAGAGAAGCGTTGCTCCAACAGATGACAATTTCAAAAAAAATTGGATCAAGTACCATGAAAGTGTGGTAAAGGCAATATACTGGTTCTGAGTTTGTTAATTCTGATGGTGATGTTAATGTGATTTTGGAATCTACAAGCTTCTATGTTGAGCAAGGTGGTCATATTTTCGATACTGAGTCACTTGATTTTTAACATGCTTCATATCAAGTTCATAATGTTCAAGTTTACAGAGGTTATGTGCTTCACATTGGTAATGGGACTGGTATCTCTGTTGGAGAAAAAGTAGTATGCAAGGCTGATTACGAAAGAAGTTCGCTTATAGCTCCTATACATGCACACACAAGTTTTCTCCTATTGGGCTTATGGACATGTTTAATGCTGATGGACTTGGTAACTTGAACGCAACTGTTATGATTGTTTAGCTTAAGCAATGGGATCTGAGAGTAATTTTAGAACCTTGAGGACAAGGTTCAATGGAAATCGGGCGGCAATGATAGAGGGTGCAATTAGATATTTTAATTAGTAATATAATGTTAGTTGTTATTTTATTTTGAATGTTTGGTTGAATTGGGCTTTTAGTAGTGTTTGGGCCTTTAAGTTTATTATCATTAGAAGTACTATATGTTGTAGTCTCATTGAGACCTTAGGTATCAAATCAAACGAAATGAAGTTTATCTTTTATTTTAATTTTCTTAACTTTTATTGTTCTTCCCCTTTATTTGTAGAAAACCCTAATTGCATAGTTTTGATAGGAAACTTCCTATCATGTTGAATATATGGAGCATGATTTTCAAAGCTAAATCAATTTTTTTTAATTATTTTATTTATTATTTACTATATGTTATTGGAAGAATACATTAAGGAACCACTTAAATGAATATAAACCACATACATTAAAAATCCAACAATCTTACATATTTAATATGCTAATAAATTAAGTAAATCAATTGGGATTTTGATATTTGACCAAATTAATAGAAGACTAGTGCGTCCACACCGGTTTTATTATTTGTAACTTTAAGTAAAATTTATAATTGTAATGATAGAATAAGTAAATAATAAAATGTGAAATATTAGTAAGTTATGACCAAAATATTATATTTATGGGCAATATTAATATCATTAACCACATGAAAGAATGAGTTTTGTAATTTGCCCCGTCAAAAAGGATACTTTTTGGTATCTAATAGAAAAACCATGCCCCAACAAAAAAAAAAATTCACATCATAAATCATTCGATAAATTTTTATTGTTGCTGATATATAATTGTTATTATAAAATCACTAATAACTTTAAATGTTTTAAAAAATATATGTATATTTATTTACTAATATCACTAATAATTATATATATTTATAAATATTTTGTTGATTAAAATGAATAAAAAAGATATTATGGTGATAGTGACCCATAAAAATGGTAAATTTCTTTGATAAAATTCATAGAAGTTGTTAAAAGTTACAAATATCACTCTCATTATTTCTTTATAATACAATAGTTGGATAAAACATTTGGTTAGAAACTGGACTAAGTTAAACACCAACTACAATAGAAGTATAAATTGACCCTTTAATTAGAAGTGACATGTCTTATGGGTAGTATAGCAGAAAATATTTTTTTTTACAAGCATTAAAAAAAATAGCAGAAATATCTTAGTTAGCTAGACAAGCATTACTCTATTTGTTGATGTTTTTGTCTTATCTCCAAAAGCTTGTGTATGTAACTTCTCAGAAAATGAATCACCTTCTGTCTTATTCGATTCATCCATATCTCTTGCTCATAATCTAACGACTAATATAGTTTAAAGAATTAAAATATTAAAAAAATGGTACAGAAGAAAGAGAAATGCACATTTGACTTATACGTGGGAAATACAAACATATACTATATCATTACAATTTAAAAAAAAACAATTTTTGTTATTTTGGTTTGTATCATTACATATGACTTAAAAAAAAAACTACTATGGCAGCATTAGTTACCTTGCAAAGTAGATGGTGTTAGTTCAAAAAAGGAAAGAGGTGAAATAGAAGGTGTTGTTGGAGAGAGAAGGATGTCGTACAAAATGAGAAAGGGTAGAAAAGTAGTAGAAAAACAAAAACTTTACCCGGGTAATGAGGATACCTAAGAAAATTTGAAAATCATAGGCGCCACTTGGATGAAAGGAAGCATTTGATTGGATAGTATCATTTTAATTAATCAATTACCAAAAAAGACATTTTGTAGCATAAAAATGAAATGGCTTAAAAGATAGATTAAGAAGTGCTTATGCATATTCCAATCTTAGTTAGATAATAGATTTACATAGTAAACTTGAACAATACTATCCAAACTAAAATATATTTAAAAAGGGAATGTTCAAGCAATGTAATCAAGTCATAATTATAAAGATTAGATAACAAATTCTAAGCATTTTAAATTTCACAATTAAACTAAAACTGTTATCACGAACACACTTTTTCTTAAAGTGGAATTTGGTTCAATATGCATAATTTTTATTAAGGGCTAAAATGGAAGTTTTATGATAGAATTTCCACACCCTTCAAATCACTGGAATATTTAATCAGTATTCTTGGTGCATAAGATTGATGTAGATATTATTAATCAAAAGCACCCTTGCAACAAGATTTAGACTATTTACAATGGTTTTCATATTCAACACCATTCTTTTTTATTTTTTATACTTTAAATCATATTTATTTTCTTCCACCTAATAATTTAACATTCATTCGACTTTTACTTACTACAATGATTTTGTTTAATAAAATTCAACATCCTATCACACCACTTTTATTTCATATTTTTATTTTCTTTTATATTTTTATTTTTATGATTTTATATTAATATCAATTATCGATTAAAATAAAATTAAAATAATTAAGATTTAAATCATTTATTTTAATTTTTTTCTAATTTTATATTCTTAATTTATTTAAATCTTTTTCTAATTTTTATAGGGATAGTCATTATTAAAACAAATAAAAGTGGATAAAATCAGAGTTTATTGGAGGTTAAATAGAAAAAATAGAGAGAAAAATTAGATCTTTTGTGTGTTCAAATTAAATGAACCAAATCTATGTTTATAGATTAAAAAATGATGAATTTTGGTGAAAATAAAAATATATTAAAAAATTGATTTATTATAAAATAATGGATTGCAAATAATTAAGGTGAATTAAAAATCTAAACAATCACAACAACCAATAAGATTTTGCAAAAATAATTTTTAACAGCGCATATTAGACAGCGTTTTTATACAAAAGCGCTACTATAAGTGAATTAAAAAAAAAACACGGAAACTGTATAAAATAATAAGTAAAAGCGCTGCTAAAAATGTGATCTTAGACAGCACTTTTAAAAAGTGCTGCTAGAGTATTGCTTTAGAAAGCGCTTTATCAAAAGTGATGTCTAAAGTCATAAAAAATTTAAAAAAAAATCAGAAAAGCGTTGCTAAAGGACCCTATTAGCCAGCGCTTTTCAAAAGCGCTGCTAAAGGTCCACATTAGCCAGCGCTTTTAGAAAGCGTTGTCTAAAGCCATATAAATGAAAATTAAAAAATAGAATCAGTGTATACTATTTCTCTTTCACAGATTCACGAACAATAGCAGAAACCCTTTCCCTCTCCGAACAAAAAGCGCTTTTACTTCGCCGTCGTACCAGCCCCCCTCCGTCCTCCACCATCTCTCTCGGTTGTCCTCCACCCACACCGGCCGGTTCTCAAGGTAGCTTCTTTCTTGAAAATGTCTTTATCTCCATTGATGTCCAAACTGAGTTATCCTCCTATTGATAATGTACTATGCTAACATCTAAGACATTATCCTCCTATTGATGTCCAAACTGAGTTATAGATATGCATAACTGAGTTATAGGTATGCATTTTGATTTTTGGGTTCTTGGTATGGCTTGATATATAACAGCAACACTTTTAGCATTTAGCATTATTGCATTTTCTTTTGGTTCTTTGTTTTGGAATAAAAAAGATGATGGTGGATTTATTTGTTATTTTAATTGGTTTCTGAATTGTTTATCATGTTTATATTCTCCATGAACTAGTATTTTTTTACTAGTATTTTGAACCTATATATATACAACTTGTTTTTGATGATCCCTTTGTATTGGTGTAGTTAGTCGAAGACCATCACCGATTCGAAGAACATCAAAGCCGCATCATCCGCCGTCGACACCAATAACCCCTTTTCTTTCTTTGGTAAGTCAAGTTCAAATTTTATTTGTATCGATCAATTAAAAAACATGATTATTTTT